GTTTTTATCTCAAACTCTGGCTAAGCAAGTGGAGAAATATTTAACACGACCTCCCAACGTCTGCAACTGTCGTCTGCCTGTGTGTCTCTTTAGTTACAGTTAACATATCGTTGGCTAAAATACAATTTAAGTGACGTGTCAAGTGTTTTTTTGAAACCAGAAGTTGCTGAAGTTGAAGCGATGTGCGCATGCGTGGTGAGCAAAACGGAAACAGGTGACCTGTGTGTTTTTTGTTTTGTCAATTACGAAGCGCGTGGCGAAAATGTATTCAATATCTGAGGGTATTTTTTCAGAACACTGCCTCATTATGTCGCTGTAATGGAATCTTCCATAAAATGGGGGTGTTGAGTTGCTGCTGGTAAACTACGAACCAATATTTCCTCCTGCTAATGTTTAGATTAACCTTATCCCAAACCCAAATTTTACTTTAGCCTAAACCCTAACAAGTGTTTCTTCCAGACTTTTTTCTCGGGGGGTGGGGGGGGGGAGGGGGTTGGCACTTGATCTTTTCGGGGGGGGGGGGGCAACATTTTCCGGGGGGGGGGGGCGGACACTGGTAAAAGTATATGTTTTTATAAATTCCTTTTCGTTCGGGGGGGGGGGGTGAAGGGTGTTAGATTTCCTTGGGGGGGGGGGGAGCTCAGATAACTGGAAGAAACTCTGACCCTAAACTAAGTAAACATCACAATAAAACGATATTATATAACTACAAATGTATCTAACACCCCTATTTTCTGAGAGTTTATTGTCATATAGTCGCAAGAAAACAAAATCATCAACGTATTAGACCTACCGCATGTTAAAACGATATTCACCATTCGACTGGTCTGATATCTCAAACATACCACTGGGTATAAAATATACAATAACCACTCAATCTTGTTTAACAATAGCTTGGGCTACAGTCAGGCACATCACACAGTAGCCCTCCCCTACCTCAGTATGCCCCATAAGGCAATAGCTGTGTAGACCGAGACAGCTATTGTCCCTGTTGAAAGTTGGAGACAGCTGAACTCGAGTGGTGGTATAAAACAATAAACAACATATGCGCGTCAACGCGGCAGTCAAAGTGCAAGCCATGCCATATCTCATAACTTCATATGACTAGCACATAACACAGTTTGACAGCGGTCTCATAACAGGTGATTGTGTATCCTTGAAACAACAAAATCGATACATTTTACGGATAAATATAGTGTACAGGCATGAAAACAAAAACACAATAAAGAGCACCAAAACAATGATTAGGGGTCTATAAATCATTAGCCACACCCCCCCCCCCCCCCGAAGAAAGTCTACCGCCCTCCTGAACGAAATGGAATTTATATAGAAAATATATACTCTTACCAATATCCGCCCCCCCCACCGACCGCCCCCGAAAATATCAACCCCCCCACCCCCAGAAAAAAAATTCAAAAAGAAATACTGTTCGGAGGGGTGGGGATACAGATAATTGACCCTATTACTTGCAAACGTGCAGATATTATCTTGGTCGATTTAGTTTTTTTTTAAATAATTAACATCAGTTAATATTATTTGCTTTAATTAGTTAGCTATAATTTTTTTTTCAAATTAATTTATTTACAGTGTTAGACACTCGCATTAAAAAAATATCCAGGTAAGGCTCGGGGTTCAGTGAGCAACGGGGGTGGGGGATGTCATATGCCCAGCTTATCACCACTCTCCCTTGTTTCGCCACTCTAAATAGTAAATCCCAAATTATAGCTAGGGACCGTTCTTGACAGAATACTTTTCAAGATTTATATAACAGCTGATTACAGGGCGATATTTGTGCTAAATAAACAACGTGGTTGTATCCATCCCCCCTCCCCCGCCAATAACACACACACACACACACCTCTATTGCACATAAATATTAACGCCAACATTGAAATAGAACGCTGAGATTATGTACTGTCATTAATGTGAAGCGTTAAAAAAACAATGTTTGACGTCATTAAAAAAAACCCAGAGAAATCCACCCAAAATCTGGCAATGTTAAATAGCCACGTTGGTGCTAAAAATTGCTAGTACAGTCTGGCAGGACCCAATCACGAGACGACATTGTAAATAAACGGTCACACGATATCTCGCGTGCTAAACGGTCAGTTCCGTCCGTGTCTGCCATCTCAGTGCCACCTGGTATCTAGTAAGGTCTGTCTGTTCTACCCACGACTGTATTAGCCCCCCCCTCACTGTCTCCACACTGACCAATGTTTTGTTCCTCCAGGACGGGGGGGGGGGGGGGGCATTTGAAACGTCCAATGGGCGGCGGACATTTTTTTAAAATTAAATCATATATTTTCTGTAGAGGTTATATATTCTTTCAGCTTCACCAAGATGTGGGCGGGGAGGGCGGTGGTCGTGCATATCGCTACAATAGTGAGTAAATAAACAAACATATTTTCTTTGTTTGTAACATTAGGTTGGAAATGTCAAACCCTGGTTTTAAATTTACGCCTATTTCACCCACCTCAACCGTCTCCATTCTATTAGCTGAACCTACCGTGGAATCTATAGAACCTCAACTATCTCTAGTCTATTAGCTGAACCTACAGGTAAGCTTAGCCCCAATTGACGGTTACGACTCTTAAGTACCAGGGTAATATGTAGGCCTTGCTAATGATTGGGGAGTTTACCAAAGTTTACCTAACAAGTGTTCGGCTAGCTAAGATCTGGGTTTACTGTCTCATTAGCTGCACCACACACACACACACACACACACACCCAAACACACACACACACACACAAACACACACACGTACACCCAGTCACACATAAATACAGCCCCCCCCACACACCACACACACAAACACACACACACACACACACGTACACCCAGTCACACATAAATACAGCCCCCCCCCACCCACATACACACAGGTAACAATGGGATAGTTAAGGTAGGTGAATGGTGAGCCCACTTGAAGGCTCAACCGCCTACACCCCCCCCCCCCCCACCTCACACACACTTGTTAAAATGGTGGATATGGGGGTTGAACAATAAGACAGAACACAAGTAAAACAGTTGTTGCAATAGCGCAGAGCGTGCCTTAATGGCATGGCTATCTAACGAGAACTATTTATATTGATTACTATAAACGTGTCTAGACGTAGACACGTGACACAGGTAACGTCGGCAGGTAGCTTGTACGTCACTTCCGACAGGTAATTATAAGCTGTCATATTGATAGCTAATCGATACAGGCTATAGTTGTTGATTTGATTATTTTTTAGCGGTAAAAAAAAAATGTTCGCACACCTGCCAGAAGTGATTTTTTTTAAAGTCGATGAAGGAGGGGTGGGGACACAATCTCCCCACCCGCGTCATATATCTCACAATCGACGTCACATATCTCACAATCGACGTCACATATCTCACAATCGACGACACATATTTCACCATCCACGACACATATCTCACAATTGACGTCACATATATCACAATCGACGTCACATATATCACAATCGACGTCACATACCTCATAATCGACGTCACATATCTCACAATCCACCTCATACATCTCACCATCCACGTCATATCTCCCTATCCACGTCACATATCTCACCATATACGTCACATATCTCACTATCCACGCCACATATCTCACCATAAACGTCACATATCTCACTATCCACGCCACATATCTCACCATATACGTCACATATCTCACCATATACGTCACATATCTCACTATCCACGCCACATATCTCACCATATACGTCACATATCTCACTATCCACGCCACATCTCACCATATACGTCACATATCTCACTATCCACGCTACATATCTCACCATCCACTTAAACTATCTCATCTGCCGATTTTACGTTTACTTGATACTAAAACTGAAGTTAACCAAATATTGTGTCGCTGACTCACTATAAAGGTTTAAAGTATATTATATAGGCAACGAGGGATGCCATCATTGATATGCAGACCTCAGTGCCCACTACAAGACAACAAAGGTACTGCACTTTAACTTATGGCAAGGTACACATACCTGTGACAAAATGGGTTAATGGGGGAGGGGGGGGGGATTTTCGGGGTTGGATGAGGCGGGAAGGTGGGGCAGGGAAGGAGGAGGTGGGGGTTCGAGAATTTTGAGGTTTAAATTACACTGCCAAGTCTACTGGTAAAATGATACTGAGAAACAGAGCGGTAAACGGGAAAAAATTTAAACTAAAATTAGATTTGAATATGTGGGGAAATGACTGTTTAGGTTAGCACGTAAACCGATTAGGTTTGTTTTGTTAATGCCCTTATAAATTCGAGTAGGTGACCAGTTTGCCTAGCAGTGGCGGAACTAGAAAAAAAAGCTCCCCCTGTAAGAAAAACAACAATCACTGCTATAGTAGACTTGTTTTTGTTTTTTTACAAAAATCCTATCAGATGCACGATAAACTTTTCTTATGAAAATAATGCATTGGTTTTTTTTTGTCGGAACTGGGCCCTCTAAACGGCCTGACCCCCCCCCCCCCCCACATTACGGGGTCTGGCGGAGTAGTTCCGCCCCTGTTGCTTAGAAGATTCGACCTAAGGTTACTTGAGTGTCTAGTTATGGGATCATGTCAGCGGTTCAGTGGTAAAATATTTACCTAGGGAATAGACCTACTACATACACGTTGGAATAATAATAAAAAACATCGAGACTCCTGGTACTACTATTCTATGACTCGGTTTATGAATATAAATGATCGATCAGAAATTGGGTTTAAACCTGGCTGAGAGATGGAACCATGATCCGATGACCGGCCTCTAGAGAGATGTTCGAACTCGTGACTTTCGGTTTGGCTATCTAAAAGGAGTTAAAGACTTAAAATTCACCGTATGACTTTCTAACAGTAGTTAAAATACACGGAATGACTTTCTAGCAATAGTTAAAATACACGGAATGTTTTACATATGAATTCAAGAAACAAGAGAACAAGATACACAATATAAGTTACATATGAAGCAAGAGTACAAAATACACGATTTGAGTCAATTTTAACTTACCAGAGGAGTCACGTAACGACGCAGAAATCCAAAAATAAACGAGCCCACAGCAAACACTTGCTGACACCAATATTGGTTCGACTGGACTGGAAAGGAAGTGCCAAGTCAGGAATGGAGCAGGGTCGTTACGGGTCGTTTATTTCCATAAACAGTTCAACTTGACAGTCAAAGAAAATGTACCTTTAAGGGTTGTCTAGTGGTATTTATGGTGGTATTGCGGTGGAAGGGGGGGGGTGGTATTTAGTAGACTCTACCTGAGATTGTAGTGCAGTGGGCGGGGCAAGTCGAGCGGGGCGGAGGTGGGGAAACACTTCTAGAATAATTCTAGCGTTGGACTTTTGAATTTACTTCAGCAACATCCATTCATATTTTTACTTTGCTATTCAATATATATATATATATATATATATATATATATATATATATATATATATATATATATATATATATATATATATATATATATATATATATAATCCTATCCTCATCATGTAAGATTAGGATAGGCTATGGTTTAAAGTTTAGTTAGGTTTTAAGTTACGTTTATGTCTAAGGTTGGAGTTAGGGTATAAATATTTACTATCTGGTAGCAAATAGATAGGCAAGCCTAAACAAAAATATTTAAGTAACGTCTTTCTAGAAAGGCTGCCAAAAACATATTTGCGTCTCCATTTTGCATATACAGGTGTAATATGCGCATTTCAAAAGATCACGTCAACTGTGTAGAACGAAAGGCTATGGTGTCTAAAAGGATTCAAGTAGGTACTGAAATCCCACTGTAAAAACGGATTCCAATTGCAATTATATTTCTCGTTTAAATAATAAAAATAAAAAAAAACAGCTGTTTCGTTCAATTATTTCAATAATATGTGTGCATATGTTTGTTAGACCTGGGTATGTGTTTGTTAGACCTGGGTATGTGTTTGTTAGACCTGGGTATGTGTTTGTTAGACCTGGGTATGTGTTTGTTAGACCTGGGTATATGTTTGTTAGACCTGGGTATGTGTTTGTTAGACCTGGGTATGTGTTTGTTAGACCTGGGTATGTGTTTGTTAGACCTGGGTATATGTTTGTTAGACCTGGGTATATGTTTGTTAGACCTGGGTATGTGTTTGTTAGACCTGGGTATGTGTTTGTTAGACCTGGGTATGTGTTTGTTAGACCTGGGTATATGTTTGTTAGACCTGGGTATGTGTTTGTTAGACCTGGGTATGTGTTTGTTAGACCTGGGTATGTGTTTGTTAGACCTGGGTATGTGTTTGTTAGACCTGGGTATGTGTTTGTTAGACCTGGGTATGTGTTTGTTAGTCCTGGGTATGTGTTTGTTAGACCTGGGTATGAGTTTATGACCTCGATAAATGTTGGATTGCTAATGCGTTTACAATGGTTACGATTTTAGTTGTATAATTTCGGTGGAAAAATGTGTGTTTGAAGATATATCGTGATGTATGAGATGCGAGTTTTGTTAAAATACCTGAAGATAATGGCACAAGTAATGAAACAAGGGCTAGCATTTGATGACAAAAGGGCAGTGACGACAAATGTTGTATCGGCTCTCATTGTGTGATGATTAATTAGACGTCACATTTTATAACCACAGGCTGCAATAATTTCAGGTTGTCCAACAGCAAATTATTTCATTATTCCGTATGATTTGAGTGTTAAAAGGCGGCAGGGTTGGTAAAAGGCTGCAATGTTAGATACTGTTTCAGGGTTGGGCAATACCGCATGGTTGGCCAATATTATAGGGTTGGTCATTATTGCAGGGTTAATCAATAATTCAGGGTTGGTAAATATTTCCGGGTGGGCCAATATTACAGAGATGGCCTATATCGCAGGGTTGGCCAATATTACAGGGTGGCCAATATTTTAGGGTTGGTCATTATTGCAGAGTTAATCAATAATTCAGGGTTGGCGAATATTTTAGGGTTGCCCAATGTTACAACACTTGACCAATCCCGTATGGATTGCAAATTGTATTTTTTTTTACTAAAGTAGTAATGACCCAGGACAGATTGATGTAAAGGCTGAACTTTAGTTTCCTCTTGCTCAGCGATACCCACGACAAAATAGCCTCAAACTCGAGCTTACTGTGTACATGGCCATATATTTCACCAACACTTCCACGATTACTGTAAAATGAGTATCGATACTGACACATTCATCTGTGACTTGTCACAATCAGCGCCTACTGTGAAATGCCGGCGTCAGTAAAAGAGAAGAAATGCGACCTGTTATCTGAGATAAGAAATCAATACACGGCTTCTGTTGCACTACCACATGTACTTGCAGAAGAAAAAAAAACACGACTATCTAAAATTGTCATCAACAGTTACATTGAATAGTTGAGCGAGTTAGACAGAGAGGAGGAAAGGAGATGTCCGTCTATTTATAGGTTAAAATATTAAGTAAACACACATTTTACCCGTTATTCACATATATATACGCATTTTTTTGGCGACCGCTCGATGTAAGGTTTTTAAAAAGTTCAAATTCCGAATTTTTTAAATTACTTTTAAAAGTTTCTGAAATACGATAAGAGGAAAGGGGGGAAGAGTGGGGAGGGGGGGGGTGTTCTGGATTTTGCAATCCTTTTGATAGTGTTTTTATCACAATCCACTTTACGAAGAATCAGATAAGCTTAATGTTTAATTAAAACAAAGAAAATAAAAACACTTTAATTGAAATCTAAACCAAATCTCAGGTTTGAGATTTAGAGATAGTACCTACGAATAAAAGGGATGGTATGGTCCTTTTTAAAACACAGCGAACATAGAATCAATATGGTCGGTATAGTAATGTAGTGTGTGGTGAACGAGGCCTATACAATATAATATGAACTTGTATCAGTGATCACTGATCACAATTCTGTCTAGGTCTCGGTATGTATGGCTCATGCTGTAGCTTCAACCCCTTTCCTAACCAACAATGAAAAAAGTTAACACTTTAGTTTAGACATGTAAACTTGGGATTTTAGCTTGCTTGGGAGGCGACCCGGTCTCAGTATGAAAGTGCGGCATCGAATCCCGTCTGGCTCTACTCTCCTGTCTTTACACTGACTATTGATCGGTACCTTAGACTCACTAAGGTGTTAAAATGAAATTGTGTGATTAATATTGGGTCAACCCTACTTCACAACACCATCCTACCCCTCCTAGTCTCCCCAACCCTACCTCGCCACCCCAAACCTACACCTACTTCGCCACCCCAACCCTACTTCACAACACCAACCTCTCCATCCCAACCCTACTTCATAACACCAACCCCACACTTACCTCGGCACCCCAACCCTACTTAATAACACCAACCCCACACTTACCTCGCCACCCCAACCCTACTTAATAACACCAACCCCACACTTACCTCGCCACCCCAACCCTACTTAATAACACCAACCCCACACTTACCTCACCACCCCAACCCTACTTAATAACACCAACCCCACACTTACCTCGCCACCCCAACCCTACTTAATAACACCAACCCCACACTTACCTCGCCACCCCAACCCTACTTAATAACACCAACCCCACACTTACCTCGCCACCCCAACCCTACTTAATAACACCAACCCCACACTTACCTCGCCACCCCAACCCTACTTAATAACACCAACCCCACACTTACCTCACCACCCCAACCCTACTTAATAACACCAACCCCACACTTACCTCGCCACCCCAACCCTACTTAATAACACCAACCCCACACTTACCTCGCCACCCCAACCCTACTTAATAACACCAACCCCACACTTACCTCGCCTACCCAACCCTACTTAATAACACCAACCCCACACTTACCTCGCCACCCCAACCCTACTTAATAACACCAACCCCACACTTACCTCGCCACCCCAACCCTACTTAATAACACCAACCCCACACTTACATCACCACCCCAACCCTACTTCACACAAACCCTTTCAATACCTTGCAACAACCACCCCAACAAACAGCACCCATCCCCCCTCCGCCCCCCCCCCCCTACATCGCCACACCCACCCTAAATCACCTCACCACTCCTTCCACCCACTTCTGTCACGCCCCTCCCCTCGCCACACCCATACAAATAGGTACCCAAGATAAACTATCACACAAGGGCTAATAAATCTATGCAACGCGGACTAATCCTTAAGTTTGTCTCCCCTTACAAAAGGGGACACAATAACTAGCAATTAGCCAGATTTAAAAAACTAGGTCGCCGCAGGGGATCTACCTAGCTACGGTTCCTACCTAACTCAAAAATAAACAACGTCGCTGTCCTAATCCGGTTAAAACCCAGCAGGTTAATCCCACTTACATGGCTGAGCACGTACTTGCTCGTGTGAACTTTGAACAGAAGTCAAATTAATCTTTTTTTTTTATTTGTCTAGTGTAGCTTTGGTTAAAATAACATTTTTGTACTTAATTTACACAACAAGAATTGAGAAATAAAATGATGCGGGAAATTTGTGCCTTTAAATCTAACCAGCTTTCGTCGTTTACAGCATTCAAGTTAAATCTTCAATCTCTGATTGACATTGTTCAATAAAAACGTGTATTTAGGGACCGGTGGTCGGGTGGGGGTGGTTGGGTAGGGTGGTAGGTGGAGTTGTTAGGTAGGGTGGTTGGTTAACTCGTTGGGTGGGGAGGTACGGGGGTGGTTAGGTGGAGGGGTAGGGCGTGGCTAGGTATGGTGGTTGGGGGTGGTTGGGTGGGGTGGTTAGGTAGGGTGGTACGTGGGTGGTTAGGTAGGGTAGTTGGGGAGCTGGTTGGGGTGGTTGGGTGGGGTGGTTGGGTGGGGTGGTAGGTGGGGGTGGTGTGGTTAGGTGTGGTGGTAGGTGGGGCTGACAGCCCTTGGGTTGCCACACACGTTGAGTCGAATGCAAGCATTTTGTCACTGTTGATTTAATAGGGCAAAAGTGACCTTCTGTCACGAACCTCTTCATCCCCACCCTCCACCCCCACCCACAACATACACTCTTGACCCCACGTAAGTGTCCGCAGTATCAAATAAAAGATATCTCCCCTGTCAAGCTGAACATGAAATGTTGATTGTAAATGTTGATGAAATGTTGATTGTAAAACTACAACATTATCTACAATGGTTGGTGGTGTTGATTCAAGAAATATGAATCTAAAAATAGAACCATCAAATCACGACAAGTTCAAATGTTAATGATTGAATCCAGACATTCTATTTACTGT